GAACTCGGAGTTTGCTCGAGTTTGCAAACTAAAGTTTGCTAGTGTAGACAGGGCTTCACAGACATCTGTGCTATCTCCTGTTACTAGTATGTTGTATTCTGGTTTGACAATTCACGCGAGCTGCCTCATTTGTCATTGCCTGTATTGCACTGGCATTGTTTAGCATTTATCTGTGGTCGGTGGTTGCCCACATGTTGTTTTCCTGGCCAGTCTGGCAGTTATCTGTGTTGTCTGGTATTCCTTGATTGTTGTAATGCTTGTCCCTGGCTTCGGACCGTCTCTCGGGTCTTTATGAAAACCTCATCATGTCGTTTCACCGTAAATCCGTCCACTTAGTCGCACAATGACACCTAAGCTGTAGATTAGAGTGCGATTTACGGCAAATTGTTGCAGAATTACATCACGAGCACGAACAAAAACCGGCCGCTCCGGTGTTGACACAAGCACGAGCGCTCCCACTCACGCACACGCACATACGCACGCACGCACGCGCGCGCACGCACGCACACACACGCTCAGATATGAGAATATTCACGAATCCGCTCAGAAACGCTCGAAGAATACGCGCGCCGATGCATTTATCGGCGTCATAAATCAGTCGTTACGAGGTATTGTAAAGCGATGGATATCAGTTTACTCCCTCCATCCGCCCCGCCATACTCCTACCTGCAATCTGCACTCACATATCTGCAGCAGCAGTTATCGCGCGCGTGTACAACGTCCGACTTCCCCGCCATGGCAACAGCGACGCGCGAATCGCGTCTGCCATACGGTGAGAGATTAGCGAGACGTGTCTGCGCGTTTATTTATTCATTTATTTATTTATCAGCGACGAGCACTGACAATCACAACAGCTAGCTACTGCTGGTAGCACGCCGCCTTAGACGTGAACTCCTCACGACTAGACCTGAGATCGAATAAATGTCAAAACACGAAGTGTGCGCGCGTGTGCGTGTTCGTGTTTGCGTCACTGTGTGTGCGTGCGCGCGTGCGTGTGTGAATGCGCGCGTATGTGTATGCGTGCATACGCGTGTGCGCAGTGTCTGGGGGGGTTCTAGGTCTAGACTTAGTTACGCCTCTACTGAGTTCTAACGAACGACGCGCGCATACCGCCGCGTGTGTACCTGACATCAACACATCACATCCCCCCGCGAGTTCATAGTGCGGCTGATCATACGCGCGCGTACGTAAGGTAAGTAAGCTACATCGCAGGTCGTTACACCTGTCTGGCCTGTTACGTGCCTGGCAGGTGGCCAGCAGCGGGAGAGAGAGAGAGAGAGTGAGAGAGATTGAGAGAGAGTGAGAGAGAGAGAGAGAGAGAGAGAGAGAGAG